CATGTGGCGCATCCGGCGAGCGGCGCGGGAACCGGTCACACAGATTCGTTCCCCACTCGCGGCGGGAGGAAGCACGTCGTTAGACGCCCACGCGGCGACTCGCGACCCGCCGCGCCGCGCCGTGAGAAACCGACGTCACTCCCCCCACACACACGTTGCCACGCGTCGAGGATACGAGTGGTGACAGCGAAGGCCTTAGAGGGAGCTGCTGAGCTCATTAGTCTCGTTACCGTAGGGCTTTTGTTTTCCTCGGGAGGTGGCGGTGATCTCTCCCCGCTGTATGGTGAGATCCAGCGCCAACCTCGTCGGCTTCATGCAAGCAGATTGCTCCCACCCGCGTGGCACCGCCCGGCCGGGACAAGCTCTAAGCTCCCAACCGACCTCCCGGCACGTGTGGTAGTGTAGTGCACGTTAGTGTAAGTGTGTGTAAAGGGTGAGGGACTAGCTAGACAACCGGATCGAGTTCTGCCGCTGTCTGGAGGAGAACTCTAGATGCCGTCTGTCTGTGATTTTTCTGTGATTTCTCCGCTCATCTAGTTTTCTGCGGTTTCTCCAATCAACACTAGGCCAATGCCGGAGCAGTACATTAACAAAACGGTCACGGTGCGCGCGATGTTTCCTTCCTCTTCCTTGTCCTACCCTCACCCCTTACTTACACACACACAAACACACATGATCTGTACTTCCACACATGCTGGGAAACCAGTCGGGAGCTTAGAGCTTGTCCCGGCTGTGGCGAGGGGAGATACCTGGTGGAGGGAATACCCCGCAAGCCGACGTGTAGATCGACGCCGCATCTCGCCAACCAGCTGGGGAACTTACCGGCCACCTCTCGCGAAAAAAACATGCAGTACACTTACGGAACAAACAACCTTGTCATTGGCCGCGACCGTAATCCCTAATCAATCGGGGAAGCTCTACTGCTTTGGTTGGTGTCCAAACAGAAGACCGACTTCAGTCACCGGCCTGAACGGATCGTGTTTCCATCAGCGGCAGTAGCTGTTGAGTTGTTCGGTAGGGATACTCGCCCGCTCGCGCCAGCCGAGGCCGGAAGGGCTTTCCGGTGCAACCCGATGCCTTTCGCGCGCACGGGGCTTGCCGGGCTGTGCCTCCCCCCACCCCCGCACCCCGCCCGAGCAAACGCAACCACGCGGCAGTTCATTCACAGACTTTTCCAGTGGGACCTCTGTCAGAACCTGCTCAGATCCCTTTACTGCTCCCAGCTTAACACCGCGAATCCTTCAAAACCACTCCGTTTGGCGTTGTCACACCTTGCACATAGACGTGTTTGGATGTTTCCTGCTACTCGGGTGGAGCCATTTAAGGTGCAAAGCAAAACACAGCCGAGTGCTTCATAATATTAGTAATAAACAGGGCTCGGAATCTGATAATCAATAAATATTCTTTGAAAATTATCCAAATAATGACTAAAAATAAGAGGACTAAAATTCTTAAAAAGTAAGTAGAAAAATACCAATTTAAAAAAAATACTAAAAAATACTAATATCATTTTCAAATTCAATAAATTTGACAGTTTTAAATAAAATGTATTTATATAAAATTATGTTTATAATAATTTTTTTATTTGAGAAAAAAATGCAATCCTTAGCTCCGATCTTCCAACCGTCAATTTTGAAAGGCCGAGGAAGGTACAGAAGATCCGTTAATTTTGAAAGTTCGAAAAACATAGATCACTATAATAGTAAATTTTGTCATGAATTTATTTAAATTGAATAATTTTTTAATTGAATAATAACGGAAACAAAATATGAAAAATGGCAAATATGTCAGAAAGAACACCAAAAATCACCTAAAAATTGAAAAATGACAAAACTTGAAAAATTATCCAATAATTATACATTCCTACCGCCTATGTGTCGTAATAATCATTCATTTACAAGTTAGCTACGTTTGAATGCACCAATGAAAAGATGACGTCATCAAAATACGAGCCCTGGTAAATAATGTCTGTGCCATTTTGGCTTCAAAAGCACAAATACTTGTAGAAAGAGTTTTTCGAATTTGTTCGACTGCATTTCAGTCTGTCGCAGTTCTCAAGCGATTGAAGGCTGACGTAATTTGCTCTCAAAA